TACTCCTATGATTAGTAGTCACAGGAGTTACTCAAAAACTCACTATAAAATAATTTTGGTATCAAGAAAGTTCCGCAAAAACGAATATTTGTTTTGACTAAAACTCACTAAACCCTCACATTAATTAACTTACAGTAAGTTTGTTCTTAGGGTATTCCATTTACTCTCTTGTATTACATTGTAAAGTAATAAAACACTGTCAACCCTCAAGTGCTTGGCTCCTAAAAAAGGAAACCTTTTCCTGAGAAAAATATGGGGACAGCTAACCTTCTTCTAAAATGCTAGTTTTGATGCTTTGAGTCACTGAGAACTTTTCATCTGCATACTTGTTGAGGGACCCTTCCAGGTGGGTAGAATATATGTTCCCCCACCACATGCTGTGGTCCTTTCCATCATATTGGATATCATGTAGTGATGTACTAGCTGACATACAGGAAATACAGCATGTAGCAGGTATTCACAGGTGTTCACCAACCTGTCAGTGTGAAATGCCTGCAGCAGCGAGGAAGACACAGGCTGCTAGAAAGGTAAGTGGTAAGTATAGATGTTCTTCTTTCACAGGCTGGGCTTACATTACAAATGGCTTACATTAAAGTGACACAAAATAAATGTTACTCACATTAGAATGTGTCTTGGATTGTGGTGCTTCTTCCGGTGGATCTGTAAACAAAAAAGAACAAGCATCCAGACAATCAATACCCCCAAGATATACACCAAACATGAATATGCGTACTGACCATAATGTAACATCACATATCCATGTTTTAGACATAAATTACTGCTTCTGGTATCTTTCAAAAACAATTTTTCATTTTTTGGTAGATTCAGGAGAGGAAAATCACCTAGCTTTTCTTTTTATCTCTCAGAAACATCTATGCCGAGATTTCTGTTATAGTAATTTAGATTAGATCAGAACAAAGCGTATAGCTTAAGACCACTTAGCACTTATTGCAAAAATAAAGCCGCTCTACCTTCTTAGACCCAATACTCCATGGGGACCTCGGTGCTCAGCATAAACCTCTGCCGGACCAAAGCAACAAAATGAAGTGGAAAAAAGCTGGCACTCGGAGGAATCCTCTTAATGGCGTTTCTTTAATGAAAAGGCATAAAAGCAGCTACTTTTATGCCTTTTCTATAAAGAAACACCATTAAGAGGATTCCTATGAGTGCCAGCTCTTTTCCACTTCACTTAGTACTCACCCCAGGCAAAAGGCAAACAGCCCATTCAGCAGGAATGCTGGTGTTGAGCATCAGCGCCAGCCCATGCTTGTGCATTGAAGAATACTTGAAAGTACTTGCCCATGCACATAAAGGCACACCAAGCCATCAGCCAGTTTGAAGGACTCTATGTCATAAGTGCAGGTGCTTGAGCCAGCCTGCATAGCCATCAGCGAATGTAAATCTCTTGACACTTCCTCTCATGAGAAAGCACTGACTGTTACCACATACTGTAGATACAGCTTGATCTCCTTGTGTTCTTGTTGACACATTCACATGCTTTACCACCTTCCTGCTGATTCCTGTAATTTACCCCTTGGCATGACTAACAAAGCCCTTTCATATGGACATGTAAGGAGCACCTGTTAAGTCTGTACACTGATACTTAGACACCAGTGTCTACAAAACAGACAAAAACATGGAACATAGTACCACTTCTTGTCAAACACAATTGTCAGCTATGCTTGTCTTGGATGCATGTTATGTGTTTTTACAACGGCTGTTCAATATATGTAATAACTTTAGTTACTATTGAGTAAACAGGCATAGAAGAACTAGGATTTTTAGAAAATCTTTGCTTTGTTATTGTGAGGGAGCTGGAAACGGATGCTATAAAGCTATTCAAAGACATCCATCTCGCAAGCGGAAACAGTGACATGTATTCTGTGCACAGCCAGAGTGCAGTGTGTGACAAACTAGGAATGGCCTGCAGATACTGCTTTACATAAATTTTATAACGTTTGAGGTTAACAATCTTTGTAAGCCCAAAAAAGTATTGCAGACTGAATTATAGAAGTCAAAAGAGTGGATTAAGGACCTGTTTTGGACATAGAGGGTTATACTTTGTAGAAATGGCTTATCTTTCAATGATACCTCCAATGAATAACATTTTGTTCTGTTGTTGAGCATCTCACAGTTGATATTAGCACACTAAAAATGATATTTTTAAATATATTTTTTATTCTGTGTTTGTGCCAGGGTTCATAATCCCAAATTACTTTAGTTGGCAAGAAAGTTGAGCTGTATGACAACTGCAGGCCCTTAGGAATGGTTTAAGCTGGGTAATTGACCTATGCATCACCAGACTACCTGACAATTAAGCTTTAAAGCTTGTACTCAGTGGTCTGTAAAACTTTGTTATTTCTACATGAAACAATTCTCGATCCCAAGGTAAAACTGCCACTAGAAAGATAACTGTTCTTTATGGTGACCATAGAATTCATTTATTATTGGTATTTACATAGCGCTGACAATTTATGCAGCGTTTTATAGACATGTAAGCTTCAGAAAAACTCAGTTCGGTTATTTCGTTATTTCAGGATTCGGATCCGAAACTCAATTCGGTTCGGGTTTCGGATTTGGATGAAATCCAAATTTTCGTTAGTTTCTGATGAGTCTACGAATATTCGTTGCGAATACAGCAGAAAACCATATACAGATATTAATACTAAAGCTGAATCTCCTAGACCCGAATGGCATTCGGGAGCTCCTGAATGCAATTTGTAAACTCGCATCCCCAATGCCATTAGGGTCTGGGAGCCATATACATATATTACTAAAGCTCAGGCTCCCAGACTCAAATGGCATTCGGGAGCTCATGAATGCAATTCGGAAATTCGCATCCCCAAATGCCATTCGGGTCTTGGATCCATATACATATATTACTAAAGCTGAGGCTCACAGACTCGAATGGCATTCGGGAGCTCCTGAATGCAATTCGGAAATTCGGATCCCGAATGCCATTCAGGTCTAGGAGCCTCAGCTCTAGTGTTATATGTATATACTGTATATGGCTCCCATGTTGCCGTAACGAAAATTCGTGTTCAGACCCATTCTGATGCATTACACCGAAAAACACATCTGAATGGCCAGATTCTGACACATTCCGATGCATTGGGATTCGGAAATTCGGATGTGTCCGAATTTCAGAAAACTTTTCCAAATTGTGATTCGGAACGAAACAAATCGCACATGTCTAGCGTTTTACACAGTGCGCATTCACATCAGTTGACTATGTGACATTTTAAGTGCTTGATGTCCTTTATGGTGGACAGAAGTTCTACATTTTACTGGCACTGTTTTGTGCTGAATACATAAACATTAAACATTCTCCTTCTAAGGGATTAGACTCCGCCAATGAGGAATGACAGCCACCTCAACTAGAGGAAACTATGGTCTCTACAGTAATTCTTTATTCCCAGTGCAAAGTAAAAATAAATAAATGAGTGAAGTTTCCATGTTACCCCTGAACCAGCAGTTCATTAATACAAGCTCTTATCCTTCTCCGTGTTTAGCAATCCACTGAAAATATTACAAACATAATTGTGACACAGGATATATGTCATCTGTTCAGACATGAAACACTAATATGCATTTTTAATGAAACGACATTTTCACATTTACCAGTAATATATCTATCTATCTATATATATATATATATATATAGATAGATAGATAGATAGATAGATAGATAGATATAAATAGATCTATATATATATCTATATAGATCTATTTATATCTATCTATCTATATATATACACTATATTACCAAAAGTATTGGGACGCCTGCCTTTACATACACGTGAACTTAAATGGCATCCCAGTCTTAGTCCGTAGGGTGCAATATTGAGTTGGCCCACCCTTTCCCGCTATAACAGCTTCAACTCTTCTGGGAAGGCTGTCCACAAGGTTTAGGAGTGTGTCTATGGGAATGTTTGACCATTCTTCCAGAAGCACATTTGTGAGGTCAGGTAATGATGTTGGACGAGAAGGCCTGGCTCCAGTCTCCTCTCGAATTCATCCCAAAGATGTTCTATCGGGTTGAGGTCAGGACTCTGTGCAGGACAATCAAGTTCCTCCACCCCAAACTCACTCATCCATGTCTTTATGGACCTTGCTTTGTGCACTGGTGCGCAGTCATGTTGGAACAGGAAGGGGCCATCCCCAAACTATTTCCACAAAGTTGGGAGGATGAAATTGTCCAAAATGTCTTGGTATGCTGATGCCTTAAGAGTTCCCTTCACTAGAACTAAGGGGCCAAGCCCAACCCCTGAAAAACAACCCCACACCATAATCCCCCCTCCACCAAACTTTACACTTGGCACAATGCAGTCAGGCAAGTCCCGTTCTTCTGGCAACCGCCAAACCCACACACGTCCATTGCTTACTATATCCTCAATTATGAATGAATGGGAGTGAGCTACATCACCTCCTGTTCATTCATATTTGTGGTTATAGTAAGCATGCTATGTTATCAATGAACAGGAACACTCAGTATAGAGGATTCCTGTTCAAAATTCTGCCCCGGGCGCCCATAACTCTGATTACGCCACTGGTGATTCGTCACTCCTGAGAACACATCTCCACTAGACTAGAGTCCAGTGGTGGCGTGCTTTACACCACGGCATCTGACGCTTTGCATTGCACTTGTTGATGTAAGGCTTGGATGCAGCTGCTCAGCCATGGAAAACCCATTCCATGAAGCTCTCTACGCACTGTTGTTGTGCCAATCTGAAGGCCACAAGAAGTTTGGAGGTGTGTAGCTAATGATTCTGCAGACAGTTGACAACTTCTGTGCACTGTGCACTTTAGCATGCGCTGACCCCGCTGTCATTTTACGTGGTCTGCCATTTCGTGGCTAAGTTGCTGTTGTTCCCAGTTGCATCCACTTTGTTATAATACCAGTGACAGTTGTCCGTGGAATATTTAGTATATATGTATATGTATGTATATATATACATTGTATATATCAGTAATGTTCCTTTTGAGTAAAGAGTCCATACCTTTCTTGCCTGAAAGAACCCAGTAGACCAAACTGACAATTATAATCAATACAGCAATCCCGGCAGCAACTCCTATAGCTATCAGCCACAGCAAAGATCCAGCTGAGAATCAAAAGCATAAGGGAAAGTTATTACATTTTCTAAAATAGAGCTTACATAGTTACGAAGAAATACATATCTTAAAAAAAGACATGTTTTGATGGGTCTATCAATAAAATCCACACTTCAAAATGAATGATGTCAGCAATAGGATTTCACATTACTATTTTGAGTAAAGTATTACATCCTTACAGCCATGACTAAAAAAAAGCTAGGCAGAGTAGATCAATCTGGCTGACGCACGAATAAACCATCTAAAATATTTAGGTATACAGATAATTAATTAAAAGCTATACACAGATTGTTATTACATCAACACGCATTGATATGTTATTTAAATCAAAGGTTCTCAACCAGTGACATATGCTGGGTGAGGGGTTTGGGATGCTAGTGGTGCATGCTAGGAGTGGTTAGTGCATGCCACTCAGCTCCTGCCAACTAGTGTCATCACTAGGTCCCAGGAGCTGGACAAAAGCTGAGTGGGATGCTGGCTTTTAGCAATCTGGGCACTCTGGCCACAGGGCCGGTGCTAGGATTTTTGCCTAGACAGGCAAAGTTGCATTTGTGCGCCCGCGTCATGCTGCTCTGCCTGCCACCCCTCCCCCATGTGGCAACAGCCTCAGGCCTTTATGTTCTTGTGGGGTGCAAGAACATAAAGGCTACTGTGCAGGCATTGGGGCTTACATGGATGCATCATCCTTGGGCCAGCATTGTTAGACCAGGAATTATATACTGGCCCTGGATGATCCCTGAACAAAGATGGTGCTGCTTTCTGAGGAGAGGAGAGGTGACGGCATATAAACGCATGTCAGGAAAAGTGCTATTATCTCCTGCACAGTTACAATTACAAATTATTTAGCATTCATATGCACAACATGAAAAGCGTTTGTTTGAGTTATAATTACATACTTGTTATTACAGTGATCTCAACTTGGGGACTCTTTGGTGACAGCAGTAAACGTCCCTTGATCTCTGCTGTGTATTGACAAGAGTATTTGGCAGGGGAAGTGTTATTATTTTTCTTCACAATAATAGTTATTGCTGCTGCTCTTGTCTGTGGATTGTAAGTATGTACACTGGTCACCTCATCTGTTTCATTAAGAAAGTGGAATATTGCCCTTTTATAACTTTCCCTGATGAGGCAGTACAGAGTTACATTGCCTCCATCTTTGATTCTTCCACTAGGAGGATCGGCAGACAACATTGGTGGACGTAAGTGATCTGTAATGTACAAAATAAATAATTATTTTTATTATTATCATTTAGTATCATATTATTATCTTACAAGTTTGTTCCTTGCAGCTAAGGGACACAAATAACAAAGTGCAAGAATAGTATTGCAAATTCCTTTTTGACCATATTAGTTGGTTGGCACAGCTAAAAGTGATGTGTGGGGGCTTGGTGCGAACCCAGTTTGTGAACCCAGTTCATCCATGTCTACACAAAACTGTGTCTGACATACTCCCAGTACCGGCCCAATCAGGGGCATTCCCTGCCCTGCAGCTAAATGTCACAGAGGGGTGGCTAATGCACCTGGCGCAACTGGGGGGTGCCAGTCACAGTTTTGTTGGACATTGGGGGCCCTCAGGCAAACTGGGTTCGCTCTAAGCTCCCACACATCACTAGTTGGCACCTTAAGTTTGACACCTCTTCTCCTCTCTCATTTAGTTTATGCAATGGACAGCCTCAGTGGCTAGTAAGGGCACTCTCATTGGACAGAAAAGAGGAAGATTTGCTGATACAAGTTTAGGCTCCGTTCACACATTAACGGTTTTCCGTGAGTATTGGTACACGTGGAAAAATAATTGTTCACACTAGGGTGACGTCCATGCGATACAAAAAATGTGCGTCCCACAAAAAAGTCCAAGTGCGATTTTCTGGGTGGATTCCGCATGTTTCCGCTATAGTAAAAGCCACAAGCGTGCAGAATCCACACATATGTTAAGTTTGCGCGTTTTCGTGCCGCGCTGTTTTCCTGCCTGGTGAAGGGACCCTGAGTGGCCCCGAAATGTTGCTATGTGACAAGATGTGTATGCATTATTAAAATGATCACTGCTTGAAGATTTGACCATTGTGTGCTGGAGACATACTTTACTACTTGAGTTTGAAGCGTCGCCATCCACAGTCACTACAGCACCCACAGAAAGGGACGTACCATTAAGGAGTGCGGTAGGACTCTCGTGCATTGTTTTCCTGAAAACCACACAGAAAACACGACCTCTATGCGTGAATGGAGCCTTACTGTAACGTGCAAAACAAGCTCACCAAACATCATTTTATTGGACATCTACAGTATATTAGTTTTCTGGGAGGCAGTTATGAGTGTCCATTCAACATGCTTAAAAACCTCCAAAGTCTAATTCTTCCAAATATTAAAAACTAGATTCAAAACGCGTGGTCAAACATAAACTGAAAGTTTACTATACAAACCGTCCAAAATAATTACACAACTTGCATTTATATTGTACTTTGTAAGCAACAAGTACATGGTTAAAACACCTTTCTACAACTTCAAATAAGATTTTGTAAAAATTACAAAAAAAAAAAAAAAACAAGTTCTAATTTTTTATATTTGAACTTTTGTTGGAAAAAAACAATGCCCTCTGGGTGATCAATGTACATTATAAGGATTTTTTTTTAAAAACAGTGTTGCAGATTCCTGTTTCTGTTCTAAAGACATTTCAGTTTGTTTCACCAGGTCCTTTCCAAACTGATTTCTGAATCGGAGGGTCTGGATTCATTATGACCAGCTGAGGTACTTTCAGTGTTCTTATGAGGAAAGTTTCACTGCCCGCATCCCCTTAGAAGTAGTTCACCCTTAGGGAGTATCTCACCAAAAATGACATTTCTGTTGCAGTGGTGCCTAAAATGTTACTTATCTTAGTGCAGACTTCTGGGAAAATATGTAAGCCAATCACAGAAGCAAGAAATTACATTTCTCAGGGCATTCTGTACACCAACTGTGTACTGAACCTCTCCAGGTTGCCATATTGCATTGACTTTTTTTTAAAACAGTTTTAGAAAATTAGAGTGGCTTTAGATTGAAGTGGAAAGGTAATTTTTCATAGCAAAATGGCTTGAGTAGCAATTTTATACATTATTTTTTTATTGAAAGTGGAGTTTTTTTCTTAATTGATTCAAGTTAATTGTCATATTAGTGTGCTGATTCATTTGATTTATAGCTGGTTTTTTTTTTAATATTAACTTTTTGTGCACTACCTTCTAATAAAAATCTGATAAATAAGTGACTTTATTTCAATATTCCCTTACAGCAGTGGTCCCAAACCCCGGGCCACGGCCCGGTACCGGTCCGTGGATCAAATGGTACCGGGCCGCAGGCGACCCCGCTCCGTCAATGGTACCTCCGCACCGCAACCCCCCTCCATCAGAGAGGAGAGAAGTCGCGCGACGGGTCCTCTGGCCGCTGGCGTGGCTTCTCCCTCTAGTGCTGGCGGAACTACTTCCGCCTCTTCCTATGTCCTCTCCTGCAGAGAGAGGAGATGGTACAGAACGCAGGCCATATTTTGCCACGCATCCGATCGCACTACGGGAGGTGGCTGCAGTGCCTTTGACTTCAATGCACCGCAACGCCCCCTCCCACCCCTGAAATTAGCAGGAAGATTTGTGAATGATTGCTGTGCGTTCCAGCAGCTACAGCTCTGGAAAGCACCCTTACAGTACCCTTGAGTGTCTACTTTTCTCAGTGAGGTCTTCTTTAAGGTGATTTTGATTGCAGATTGAATACAGTGTCAAAAAATGAGCTATTGAAACACTGTAGCCAATCAGCTTTAACAACAGAACATGACTATAGATGGCAGGCTTAATCAGAGGATCCCCAGGTAATTAATTGTTTCAATTTTTCATCAGCAAGTTAAACACCAGTCAGACATTCTTTATATACATATCAGATATGTGTATTTTGGGATGCCCAGTCATTTTCTTTTACATTTGTATTCTTACCTATAACATAAATCTCCCTTTCATCACTTTGAGTGGATGGGATTTCTCTGTTGCTTGTTGGGCTCCAGTACATACATGTATATAGAGCCTGATCCTTTTTTGTGATGTTGTGCAATGATAATAACCCTTTGCTGGATAATGGTCCTCTGATCTCCACTCCCTCTTTGTAGAAACGATACAGGGTTAGAATAACTGGAGAAGGAGCCACACACTGCATAGATACATTTTCTCCCTTTATGAACGTGGCATAGGATGGCACAAAGTTCAACCGGGGAGCACTAGACAATGCTGAAAGAAATTGTTTCAGATTAGGAACCATTTGATACTAAAATAATAAAATGTATGCATTAAGGGAGTGCAAATATGGACAGTGCAGTAAGGAAATCTACCAGCTTTGACCTGTCTGTACAATAAAGAAGACATTGCTTGTTCTGAGTTAATAAACACGGCACATTACTCTTATTAAACTATCGCTCAAGCCAAAACTAGGGATGAGGTTTAGGTATACAAGTAGCACCAATTTTGCTATTGGTACATGTCCCCCATGGCAATTCCAAGATTCCCATTGAATTATGCATGCCAAAAGTTTGCTTATTAGCTGTGCAAATGGCCTGAATTTAATCAAAGGATTTGCCTTCGAAAGACTTCTAAAGAGTGTGCTTTCATTTGTGATTCTATTCCCGTTGGAGAGATTCTCCTTTCTACTTGTCTTGGTGATACAATAGGATGTGAAGGGAAATCTAGACAGGAACAGATACAGCTATAATGACGTGACAGAGGTGGATTTCCTACTTTATGTTTGCTGTAGTTCAGCAAAGAGTATTTATTCTAGCAGTCTGTTTATGATATTTTATAGAAAAATCAAAAAAGGAAGGGCACAGTCCCCATCAATGCCCTATTCAAACAAACTGTACAATGTAGTTCCCTATATCATAATGAAATATAATCACCAATTTATAAAGTAACTTCCACTATGTATATGATTAATTGGTATAGATATGATTTTTTATATTGTTAGGCTCTGCATACTTGGATATGATTCTTTGTGCGTGTTCTCTTGTTATCAGATGCAGTCATGCTCTTACCTAAGTTGGTTATGTACCCTAAAACATGTTTTTCTTTCTTAGTAGAACATAGCCATACTTTTTTTAATTTAATTTATGCATGTTTTCTTAGTAGAACACAGACCTACTTTCTTTTCTTCATTTGTGCATGTTCTCCTTTATTTGCATGTTTTTAACCTCTGCAAACACTTTCATCACCAGTGTGGTCTCGACAAAGCAATTTTGATCCGTCACTAAAATAGACTTTTTTCTTGCCATGTTTGTGAATTCTCATTGTCCACTAGTCCATGCTGTGATCTCACAGCTTTTAGACTTTTTCAGCTTGCTGACTTAACACTAGTATCTGTAGTACATAAATAATTTCCTTTTTATGGGAAAAAGGTAGCGCCAGAGGCTTTCCAGCAATTTAGTGCTAAGTGAACGGGCTACTTCCTTCCCAAGCACCTCACTGACTGCACATTTGTCTCCTAAAACAGTGCACTGCTATGTGCCCAGATGCAATAAATGTTACTATAAGGCCTCATTCACACTGTAATCAGCCCGGATGCACAACTCCGTGCTGCTTGCACGGCCGTATCGAGCAGCTCTCGGGAAGGACAGGTGCTGCATGTGATTAGTACGCAGCCCCGTCCTTCTCTATGGGACTACGCGGCCGTACGCCCCCCTATGCTCACCTCACGTGCAGGTCCATAGGGGTGCCTGTTTCCTCGCGTGGACGCAGACAGGATCCATCCTGTCAGCGTACGAGTACGCTCACGAACGTGCAGTGCGGGTGAGGGTAGGGGGGCGTACGGCCGCGTAGTCCCATAGAAAAGGAAGGGGGCTGCATACTAATCACACACAGCACCTGTCCTTCCCTGTCCTTCCCTGATACGGCCCTGCACGCAGCACGGAGCTGTACGTGCGGGCTGATTACAGTGTGAATGAGGGCTAAGTCTCTTCATTTTTAAATGGATTACCTGCAAATGTGCAAGAGTTAAAGAAGAGTGGTACCTTTAATTATGGAAAGCCACATGTTTTATTTTTGGATAGAGTAAGGAATGGTTAAAGTGATCCTCTTACCACAGGGTCACATGTAAAATAAGTCCAACCCTGTAAAAGAATCCTATTTATAGCCCTCCACAGCAACCCTTGTGTTGAAAAGCTACCTCTTTACTGCTTCCTGGCCTCTGCAGGTAATCCACACTTGTATGAATAACTGTCCCTCCTGCCACACACAATGGTTCCCCCTGGTAGCTGCTACACCACTAAAGGACATATGAGCAGGGAGGAACCACTGCACGTGGCATTAGGAACAGGTATTTTACCCACCCCAAAGGGTCGAATACTTGAAGAGGCCAGGAAGAAGTGAAACGATGGCACTTCAAGCGATGAAATGCCAGAAGACAATTATAGAAGAGCCTCTTTTACAGACCTGGCCTTTTACTATAAGTGGTCCTGTGGTGACAAGGTCACTTTAAATCCTCTGTCAGATTTTTTAGGCTGTCTGTGTCCTAGAGGCACAAGAAAAAATAAGATAATATCTTATCTGAGACAGTTGTTACTATAACAGTTATTTCCATTTAAAGATTTCCTATCACTTCCTGTTCCTGTGACAGTTTTGATATGTTAACTCAGTTTCAGTTTTGTTGAGAATGATCACCTTAAGAGAGAGAGAGAGAGAGAGAGAGAGAGGGGAGAGAGAGACTCAAGCCAGCAGGCACAAAGACCGGAGTTTTCACATTTTCTCTTTCTTTGTCACACTTTAAAAAAAAGTTTTGGCTTGACGTACACTTTAAAGATCAAATGGCTCTCTGTTGTCCTCGCTGTCATTGCAGAGATCACCTCTGACAGCAACTTCACTCCCAGAGATCTACAGGTAGTAAAAGCCCTTCTACTACATTAAGGGTACTGTTTATAGGTGAGTATTGAGGATTTTGTTTCCCCAGATATTTTGACGTTGTCTTCACAAACCACTATCTACTCCTACAAATTGTCTTTTAATATACCACAGTGGAATCCAATTCTTCACTCTCCTTCAATTACTGCAACTTCAGCACTTTCAGATATGTGAATGCATAAAGAGGCCAGAGCCTTGGCATTAAAGTGACACTAAATCTAGGAGTTAAATCTTAAAAATGCATTTCAGTACCTTAACTGTTAACAATACTGAACCTTATATGTGTATCACTCGGCTGCAGATCCTCAAATCATCTCTGAATTGGTGCTCACACTGTCCTGGATACTTTTGTTCCACATGGCCTGTTGTAAAGTAGCCACCGCTCCATGCTTGCTCCCATGACAGACTACACTCACATTTAATTTACTCATTTGTATTGAGATTATAATCTATCACGGGAGCGAGCTTGGAGCAATGTCTACTTTACAACACACGCAGGGACCATGGGGAACAAAAGTAGCCACCCTCCAGAAGGAAGGACAGTGTCAGCACCAATTCAGAGATGATTGAATGAGTGATACACAAATAAGATACATTTAAGCTAATAAGGTAGTTGAATGCATTTTTAAGATTTAACTACTGAGTTTAGTGTCACTTTAAGCACATACCAATCAGTGACAGCAACAAGTACCATTGCCTGCATTTGTATGCACAGAGATTACAGACAGCATACTTTATCAGACCGGTCCATTACCTAGGAATTCACATTATAAAGTGTACCCCATTTCATTAATATAGAATATATGCTATAATATAAACAGATTTTCATACATTTATTGATACATATTATTTTGGTATATATACTGTGTGTGTGTATGTATATATATATATATATATATTTTTAATGTCCCAAACAACTTCTCTTGCACTTTAGACTCACATTCCATAAATGTACTATATTCAGCTACCTCGCCCCATCTCCTCCCTGCACTACATCTATATTTGCTCTTGATAGAAAAAATGTGGACGCATTACTTGGAATGTCTTTGAAATTATTCAAATAAATATTTACAATATAAAATAATTCAGTCTCAGGGCGCTGCTCTTCTGTCCCACAGATTTGTCAAATTCCTGATCCTGTTACTAACCTTTCCATTAATGTTTTCTTTAGTAAAATAAATTACATTTGTTTGAATCTACAATACTCACTGAAACAGATTTTTTAATTTTTGTTTTACATAGTTACATAGTTAGTCAGGTTGAAAAAAGACACAAGTCCATCGAGTTCAACCTATAGAGATATGAAAAAAAAAAGAAGAAAAGCCTAAACAGAACAATATGCCCACAATTACCCACTGTTGATCCAGATGTTTTGGCATCAAAGAAGCTACATAAAAGAAGTAAACGCATAAATCTTTAATAAAAATTGGCTACCTGTACAAGGAGTCAGTGCAATATCTCCTGGCTTTATAAAGATTTGAGACATTCATAAATAAAAATGTGTTCATCTGGTCTGACCAAACCAGACCTTAAAGTGGACCTTGCCACTGATAGCAAAGTCAACTTATTTGATAAGGGCCCCCTTACCCCTTTGTAAATCATTGTATAATAGTACTATCAAGATGTACATGTGCAGAAAAAGAATATATACTGTATAGTTACATTTTCACTAGCGTTCACCACTTCACTTAATTTACTAAGCTAAGGTAATTTTCTCTTTGCAGAGTTAATTTTTACTTTGGTTAGTAAATGTGGTAAAATTGTGCTGACTTCATTTATCCAATCACGTGCAAACCAAAAATTCTGTTTTTAAAATTTTCCTTGGGTATTGTTTCCAAAGTGAATTTTTACTTTGGTTCACCTATTTTCACTAAGATGCGTGAAAATGCACTTTGTAAAGTGAAAATTTATTTTGAAAGTGAATATGCTCTGCTTCATTAGAAAATCAGGGTCAGAGTCTCTGGTATGGTCCACAAAACACAAAGTGCATGTACATACCTACAGTAGCATTTAATTGCTTCCTGCATACTCAAATGCCAGGCCATTTTAAATAGACCAAGTTGGACACGTCTGGGTCTGCATGGGAGGGGAAGGAGGTGGGAAATTTCAGTAAAAAAATGGAAGATCTTATAATTTAGTGTCCATACTACCTTACTGGTTTAGGACGGTCCACTATTTGGGCATGCAGGAAGCAATTCAAAATTCTGAAGGCATGTGCAGGCACCTCTATGTGCCTCTAGGCATGGCTGTTTTATACCTGCGATCAGCTTTTTTGTTTTTAAATAACAGAGCATAATGATTCCATAACTGGATTAAGGGGTGTTCTTCCTGACATTCAGCTATAAGGTGCTTCCATTTTTATCATGTACCTATAAATAAATGGTGACTTTTTAAAATGGAAACAGAATTGTGCTGATCTTTTATGAAGTATACCGTAACCTATTCTAGAGGACACAGAGTTTAAATAGATCGTTCACTGTAAATCGTCTCCTACTTACACATCAGTTAACCTCTTGCCGTCCGCCCGTAGTAGAAAAACGGACGGACGGCACTGTCGCATTGGCGGGTTGCCGTCGCCAGACGGCATTTTTTTTCTGCTCGAACATATCTTTTATTCAGAAACATTGACTTTAAAAAATATCCCTTTAATATGTTTGACTGTTTGAAGTGATTGGAGGTTTAATAGTCAGGTAATAGTAACCATGCTATATTATGAAAGTTGTTGCTTCTTGATAAAAATCAAATGTTGTGCCTTACTAACATAAACTCAGGAACAGGACTTACTTTACTTGCTTTTCATTGCACGCTAAATAGACCTTATTTTAGCGGTGGTCAATCTGCATGATATAGGGGCCTCTAATGCAGTCCATAACACCACCAAAGGGCAGCAGAGAATATTTAGGAAAGATAATGCTGAAGAAAGCTTGCAGAGATTGCAGGCATACAACAGGATATGGTCAGAGACTACAGGCATGCTACAGGAGACAGTCATAGACTGTAAATACATTACATTACACTGTTGGAGAGCACTGTCATAACAGCATCATTGATATAAATCAATGATTTCACATTTGTGCTTGCTATATCCCCCTTAAAAAATTACTTGTTCCACATTTAAGGTTTCAGCAAGGTCCATTAAAAAAATCTTGATGTAAAAACAAGCATAAAATGGGGGGAAAAAAAGTCTTGATGTAAAAACAAGCATAAAATGGGAAAAGGCACAAAAGAGTAACATGGGGGGAAATAAATAAAAGTTTAAGCACTGTAATCTATTGTAAAGAGTACTTTTTTTTTCTCTCTTGTTTAAAGTGTATCGAAACCAAAAACACAAATTAAATATGTTGCAGCTTACCAATTGTTAGATGTGGGGTCTGCATTAGTTTTCTTTTTTTAAGCTTTTTTTCGGTTATTGTTTATTAGGAAATCCTGCCAGTAACACATTTCTTGTCTTAGGGCGGCTCCCCTCTATTCAGGAGCAATGGAGGCGCCATTGGAAAGGGTAGTGTTAGATGCTCTCTGCCGTGGCAGGGGAGGGGCTGGATTCCCCCCTCCCCGCTTCGATCTGCCAGCACTGACTGGCGGAACGGACGGGGGAGGGGGTGGGTACAGCTGGCTCTGCCTCTAGATAGGCAGAGCCAGCTGTCAGTCACGCAGCTGGGCAGATCCTGGCACAATTGTTGGGATCCGCTTCAGCTGCGGCGTCTCAGTATACTGCGAGCAGCTGCTCGTGCTATACTGCGGCGTCTCAGTATACCGCGAGATACCGGTGTGTCTAGGGTGACGGGAGAACGCTAGTTTGTGTCCTCACGTTACCCTAAGGAGAACTATGGGGAAAAGACTTAACCCCATAGTTCTTATTTAATAAATGCTGACCATTGTAAACACCCCTCTCAGTGTTAAACAGTTAACTGCCTCTTTTGATGGACAGTTTAGTCTGTTAAAGGAAGTTGAAAAATAACAGACTTACAGGCTGGATCACTAGGTGAAGATAAAGAAAAAAGCCTTAAAAAAAAGAAGAAAACTAATGCAGCCACCACATTTACCTGCTTGCCATCTGGCCAACAGTAAATAAATGGCCAGTTGACTCTGTTCACGTTGCATACAGGCGGCTATGACTGTTGCATACAAGTTGCCCAATTGCTTGTATGCTGACGGAGAGTGTTTCTCCCCCCTTCCCCTGCTGCTATCTTGGGCTCAACTGTCCTCCTTGCAGGCCCAGGGTCTCTGTGACAAGATTGGTGGGAGATCAGCACACTTTTATGGGCTGCTCTCCCTCCAATCACTGGACCTAGCAGTGATGTGTACTACATCACTTCCAGTTTCAGAATGTAATTTCTCTGGCTGCTGTAGCTGGAGAAGCAGCTGGTGAAGCAGATCTTTGCTTCATCAGCTTCCTTGGGGTCCCTAGGTGACATTAGGGGTCTAATAGATCCCTGTCACTGTATCTGTGCTATCACATAGGGGGCCTATGTGATAGCAATAAAGTAAAATGTAAAAAATTACAAAATGAAAGGCATATATAAAAAAATACACAAAAAAATATGTAAAAAACTATTTTTTTAGGTCCCTCGTACATACATAAACGTACAAACGTACAAACAAACGTACATAAACGTACAAACATGCATTTTACACTTGCGTGCAAAAACAACTATTGCACCACACATATTACATATCACCATAAACGTTGTAGAGCAAGCAGTTCTAAGGCCATCACTGTTAACGCTAAATTAATGAGTGGTAAAAGCTTTTAAAGCATCACATATGGACAATGTAGATTATTTTGGTTTTAAGGCTTGATGTGTTTGGTGTCTAATTACCCGACGTGACCCCATCTTTTATATTTTACCAACAAATTGGGTAATAATAAATGTTTCATAACATAACGTAGGGGAAACTGTTTTTTTTTCTTCAAAACTTTTGGTATTTTTTACTTCATATAGTGAAAAAGAAATAAAAAAACAGCTGTGATTAAATATCATCAAAAGAAAGCTCTATCTGTTCCTAAATATATGATATAAAATGTATTTCTCTATGGTATGGTATGAATAAATATCAGTCAAAGCGCTTCAGCGCTGAATACTGAAAAATTGCCTGGACAGAAAAGGGGTTTAACACCCCGGTCTTCAATGCTCTTCAAGTGGTTAAGGATTTGCAATAGATTAAATTTTGGCTTTTGGCTTTAGATACACTTTAAGTAAGCCCTTGAAAAAGAAAAGGAAAATGCAGACAAGGGCAGCACAGTAAATGCCAAAAGGACTGCATGTGGCTACCAACCCCCCCCCCCCCAAAGCTGCTGCTTGGGCACCAGGACCCAAAATTGCATATATTGTACTTGATATACAATGCCATGATGCTCTGAGTCCTTTTTTGTTTATAGCTGCTGGATTTGTATACTTTTCAATAGATAAACCCCATGTGAAAGCTTATGCTGAGCCACATGGAAATCCTCAACTTATAATAACAATGTCTTACCTGTAACAGTAATCATTTCTGACATACTTTTTGGTGCACTGAATGTCCTATGGTGCCCTGATATTGAGTATTGACAATCATATGTCCCAGAGTCACGTGAACTCAGTCCTTCAATGTGGCGGTTGGATCTCAAGGAATCATGGTAGCTGTCCAGTTTGCTGTTATCTTTGTGAAACTCATACCTGACCTGAGAATGTACAGGGTGATGTTCACATTCCAAAGTTACCGATTCTCCTTCAAAGTAAAGTGATTGTCTAGGTGTTACCAGGAGACGTGGCTGAGATGGTTGGTCTTAAAACAAGAAAAAGAAATGAAATTTTAAATGCAATCAGAGAAACAATTCAAAATGATATGTTACATAGAAAGTGATAGGGCACTTAGAAAACAATTGTTAGCATTAAGCATGAGGGCTAATGTGAACAAGCCCTTGTAGAATATACAGCAATGATCCACACTCCCAAGCTCTGTCTCAACAATTCCCTACGCTGCTGTCAGTTGGCAGGCAATTGAGATCTCTATCGTTCATGCGTCTCAAGCATCTGGGACTGTGTAGTAACCGCTTGATAGGTACTAATGTCTGCACTTTAGAGAAGGGAATCAGGCGGGCAGATAGAATGATATTAATACTACCATTTGCAAGGACCCTCCAACACCGTGTGCTTTAATTTCATGCAATTCGAGAAATTGATTATAATAGGGAATATTACACTGTAATGCAGGGGTGTGGAATTCCTATTGCCTGACGCCCGGGACAGGCAGCCCTGAGTGCCGGTCGCGTAGTTTTATTTGTACATTGAGAGTCAATTCACACCACAGGCTGCATTCCAGAGTGTTTGGCCTCTGGAACGCACTGGAATGCAAGACAGCTGGCTCCCTGCCTTCAGGGGCAGTAGGGGGCGTGGCGGTGCATTGAAGTCAATGGCACAGCAGCCACGTCCCCTGCCCACAGTGTGATGGCTGACACCCGGGAACGCAGGCACATTAGTGCCTGTGTTCCAGTTCAGTGCACTCTGCAAAAGTACTTGAAGAACTATTTTTGCAGATCGCACTGGACCGGAACGCAAGCACTAATGTGCCTGTGTTCCGCGTGTGGGTGATTGTACTGTGGGCGAGGGGCGTAGCTGCGGTGCCATTGACTTCAATGCACCACCACGCCCCCTCCCGCCCCTGAATGCAGGGACCCGGCCGGCTTACGTTCCAGTGCATTCCAGAGGTCGAACGCTCTGGAACGCAGCCTTTGTGGTGTGAACCAGCCCTTAGCCCTGCTTCAGGCAGGCAGCAAGGCTAAATGTAAAGTGGGAGCCGTTTTGTACAGGTGATCTTCAGCAGCTGTACAGCTGTCCAAGATCACTTGTAACCAGCCTGATTCTCCCTTTCCTCCCCTTCCCCTCTCGCTCTCCGGCGGCCGTGTCCCCAGCCGCTGCCTCTAATATCGCTCCCGGCTGCCTTTATCCCTGCCCGCTGGATCCCTTTCTGCCATGGTCTTCGGGGTCCCCCGCTCTTCTACGGGACCTGGGACCACGGCAAACTATATCAGGATGGAATGTGGGGAGCAGGGCAGAGAACGTCCGTTTTCTGCTCTGCTCCGTGTGAGCAGTGACACACAAATGTTGTACTCACAGCCTTCCTGCCACAGGAGAATGAGCACAGTGCTGTGCTAGAACTCCTGTGTTGGAGGTGACAGGGTCAATAAAGAGAACCTGTCACCTCCAAAAGCTATCAAACAGGGGCTTGTTAGCTTCTGTGTAATATCAATGAAGTCAAGTAAAAAAAAATAGTAAAATAAATAACAATTCAAAATATAAATACATAAAAATGGAAAAAATTATAACAAATAATTAAAAATGGAAATAAAAACGTAAAAAATAAAAAGGCGATAAAGTAAAAAATAAACGCATGCATGGGGCATTGTGTTTCTGAGCAGAGTCGCACACCACCACCGATTGCATTGGTGGTGCCATTATTTTGTAATGGCACCCCAGTCGCGCCATGCAGATTGTGCAGTTTCCCGCCGCAATACCACCCATGCAATCGTGTATAATCACGGTTGAAAACACTGCACAGTGCATGTCACGAAAAAAGGTACATGTACCTTTTCTCAGCGATTGCCACGCGGATGTAACCCCATTGAAATCAACGGGGGAACATGGCAACCGATTTATGCAACCGCACACGATCGCCCAAGTCTGCACCAGCCCTAAAGGGTAAATTCACTTTCCCAAGTAATCTGGGGAAATGGAATTACCCGCACAAGGCCTAAAGTTGTGTAAGGGGCCCATAAATTTCTGATGGCTGCCCTGCGGGCGGGTGACTTTTTAGTACAGCTCGATCAGTCAGTAATACCTTTTCTCATTACAAGTGCCCTAAGACATTTTATCCTGAATTACTAAAGACAATGAATGAGAGCACAGATAAATTGCTAGAGTAAGCTTGTATTGCAAGCTTTCGTGTGTGCACTGATGTACGATAGGAAAACTCATCTAGAAAATCATGCAGGTAGCATCAGCTGCTTATTCAATGTTTAATGCATGGGTCCGAGTTCTTCAACTTGTTGAACATCCATATAACGCTACATAGCTAAGCAATGAAATGAACATCTGCCAAGCAAAGCAATCAATAAAAATGATGGCAGCCTATGCACATTTATGTATCATTAGAAACCTTTATAGAGATAACAGCATTTAAAATTGTGTATACACGCTGGTCATAGACACAGCACTGTGATTGTGATACCCCTTGCACCATCTCCACCGCCATCCAGCCATTCAGCCCCTTTTATACTCACATAACTTTGCCACCAGTGTCTCTCACCAGTGCTGGGAGTGTTGATTGGTAAATCTATCACTGCAATCCGTGCCTGCCCCAATAGGTCACCTCTTTCTTACAGCATCATACTGAGCTGCATAAGAAGGTCTGCCTTTGGCCAGCCAATAGGAAGTCACCCAGGCAATGACCTGAACATTTCAAGAAGGACCCTACTTCTACTCAATGAAGAAGACAGAATACTGGAGACCTGGCAAATCACGTGACCACAGATTTGTGGAAAAGGAGCAAAAGGAGCATTTAGTTTTTGTTTTTTTTTAACTAACATGGCAATTAGTTTGGCACAGAGTGGGGGTAGGGGGGAAAAGCTGGCCTAAAGTTCAGCTGTAATTATATAAGTATGCACTTCATGATTGGATTTCCCTAAATAATTACTCCCATTGACAAAGGAATTTGTTCAGCGCATTAAAGGGTATATATGGTTCAAAAGAAATATGTATTTATACATTGACTTTCCATAGGTTCTATCAAACTCCTAATAACTATATCAATTTTAAAGTTGTAAACCTAGTTATTGAAGATACTCATATGGTGTACATCCTCAATGCAGTGACACAATTTCACTCTGGCCTGTGAATATGCATTTTCTTGTCACAGCTCTCACATGGCCTGCATTCTGAACTACGACTCAATGTCTGAACAATGTAACATTATCATTAGTTGCTGGAAGTAATGCATGATGGGATATGTAGTCTTGAGAAAATGATTACATAACATCACACAGCAAGGAAAGAGATGCAATGCACGCTTGAAATACAGGAAGTTGTTGAAAGTGATGCTAATGTTACAACAGTATACTATATGCTGTGACTTTACAGCTCCATTAACTTGTATGCTCAGCCAATATGAGCAGTCATTTTCATGACCACAAGTTCAGGAAAAGCTTGCTTAGCAGTCAGATAATGTCAGCTTAAAACTAGAAAGCCTTTGTGTCTGGTAGGAGAAAAAAACCCCAGAGGAACAGGTACTTACCTAGTATAGTCAGTGATATAGGAAAGCTGACATCTGATTGCTGCTTCCCTCTGGAATCCAACACCCAGTATTGGCAGCTATAGGAACCATCATCACTTTTTTTTGCTGAAGATATTCTTAGCCTGTTCGATGATATTTCCAACCTAGGAATTTCCCGATCATTCTTAAAGAATTTGTATCCATGTATTGTGAAGTCAACTGTAGTTTGACACTGAAGAATAACTGGCTCTCCAGTCAGGTATGTAGCATAACTGGCTGAGAAGGAGATGCTTGGACGCTGAAGACTGGCTGAAAAAAAAAAAAAAAAGTTAGTAGTGTAATGTTCGTACCTCTGGCCTGTAGGACACTTTTTTCATTTAAAATTGTTGTTGATATATGACCGGTGGAGTATCCACAGTATGGAACATATGGCACATGCCCTGGGTGCCACTTTGAGGGGGGGGCGCTGCTCCGTGGGTCAATAAGAGGTTGCTGAATCTTTGACTGTGTATCCTGCTGGCTAGCCTGTTCACAGCGGAAGCGGAGCGGTGTTGCTGGTGGCTGCCTGGGTTAGGAGACCCTGCTTAGTGAGCAAGTGGCAGTGGGACTCGGTATTGATAAGTGCCGGGTACAAGTCCTTTTTCAATGCCCTGTGCTACTATACTCTATATTTTATCAACTAACCTATTAGTAAAGAAAATATGTTTAAGAAGAGCCTATCATATCTGCCTCGTAACTCTGTGCATTTGCAGTATTGTCCATGTGATAAAATCACAGCATTAATGGGATTTTTGCTTACACAGAAAGACTAGTTAATTAGCCATGTCCTACAGCAGGGAAATCTCTTCCTTGTAAATGAGATACTAACTAGACAAAAAATGTTGAGCATGACTTCCACTGACTTTTTTTGTGAAGGCGGATAAATATTTTTAGATGGCTGACATGGTTTCCAATTTACATTATTTCACTGAAGATTTTAAGTGGATCTTTCATTAACTGCACAACATTACTATAACATCCAGTAATATCTTTGTCCAGCATCCCAACCAAAAGCTGTAAAGTGTAAGATTGTGTGACTGTGAATGAAACTGTGTTTAAGAGCATTTGTTTTAAAATTGTTCATAAACGTGACGTGCGGTGTTGTCACTGTCACCTCCAGTCAGCCGCCTGCCTTCCAAAGTAAGCCATAGCACGGCACTCATAAGGGGGAACTCGGGACTCTTGAGTAACGGGAGTCCCTAGACCCCCCTTACACCAGAGTCCCCAGAGTCCCTCCTTACAACAGAGTCCCCCATTGATGCTGATATAAGGGGGGTTCTGAAGAATGTGACATAAGGGGGAACTCTGTGGACTGTGATGTAAGGAGGAACCCTGGGGACTGTGATGTAAGGGGGAACTCTGGGGACTCTGATAAAAGGGAGAGTCCAGACACTGAGTCCCCCTTTACATCAAAGTGCTCAGAGTCCCCCTTTGCATCAGAGTGCTCAGAGTCTCCCCTTACATCAGAGTCCCCTTTAACATCAGAGCCCCTTCCTACAGAGTCTGATGTAAGGGGGGACTCTGATGCAAGGGGGCGAGGCTGGAGTGGTGGCTTCAGAGAGGATCCCCAACTGAGTGATACACAAATAAGGTACATTTTTGTTAATGGCTAAGGTACTTGAATACATTTTTAAGATTTGACTCCTGAGTTTAGTGTCACTTTATATACAAATTTTCTTACATTGGTATGCTGATCACTCACTTGAGATTCCAAATGCTTTGTCATAGACACCAATAACTTGAAAATACAGCAAATAGAACAACTAACACAGTCGCCAGTTTGTAAGGCTGGATTAATGGTCATGATAGAAATAATACTGATATAACTAACAGAATGTCATTATAATACATTTTTAATATATATTTTGGTATAGTTTTATATAGCACCATTATTTAGGAGAGTATTCATTCTCCTAAAAACATTTTAAACCTTTTTATATAATCTTCCCCAACAGCAATGAAACTCTGGAATTTTTAAAACACAAGAATTAGCAAAAATAGACTTTTACATGAAGTCAGAAATGTTTTAGATTTTGGGAAACATAGCACATTTTTAAGCATTTCGCTCAAGAAGACCCTTGATGAGAGCTACTTATGACAGCTGTAAGCTTAACAGGGTAGTCAGCATCTACGTAGGATGGAAGTTGCTTGGCACACTGACCTTCATAGAGCTTAAGCTCTCCCAGAAGACAAAGCCACAAATGGAAGCATAGTGGAAGATTATGGCGCATGGCTTGGAAATAAGGAACATACGCTAGTCAGAACATCCCTGGAGAGAGATGGAGAAGCGTTCAGCATCCACTTGTCCCCTATACATGAAAAAAGAACATTATTAGAAGAAAATGGCACTCTTGCTTGGAAGTTACTGTTTTAATTACTGTATGCATATCATAATATAAATATATATAAATATGTTTTTCCTAATATAGTCAAACCCACCAGAATAATCGATACGTCCGTCATAGACCTAGCTATGTTTGTTAGTTAATTTCTAGAAAGATGTTAAGCATTACCTTGTAGCTTGAAGTCACTTGTTCCAGGTTAATGTGAAATTGTGATATTTTTGTGGTGTGTTTGTCCCAGCCCCTTTCCTCCTTACACATCTGGGAGTGCAGCCAGCTGTAGGACAGAGGCAGGAGAGGCTTTATTGTTATAAAGAATCTCCTGCTGGCAGCTTGGGCCACAGGACCATAACAGGAAGGGAAGAGCAGCAAAGGAAACCTGATAAATACAGGAGCAATGCGGAAAGACACACTCGTATAGCATATACACTTTATACACACTTATATCGAACAATGGCCATTCATGTATACATAAATAAATATAAGATTTAAATGTATGCACACATTTTTGAAGTATAATTTTCTGTATAGGGGTTGGATTGAGGATTGAAAAAGTTAAAAGAAAAACTCCTGCTTTAACTGTAACTCCTCTCCTATAAGCTCACATCACATTACATTGTAAGATCTCCAGTTCGTCTACATTTTTCCAGTTTATCCTGTAAAATGTGTTCTCAGAGGGCGACTCTTCATAGAGGGTGTGAAGATTTTCTAAGACAAGAGACCTAAGATATTAGGCAACAGAGAAGGGGTTATGCTTTTCCAAATTAAATTCCGTTTTTATTTTGCCACTTCAAAGAGGAAAACAAAGTGTACTCTAACCTTTAATCTACAGCAACGAGGGCAGTCATCTGTCATCCTTCTAACTGCTATATATAGCAGTCTTTGACCAGACTCAGGATTCAGGCAGCATAATCTTAGCTATTGTGCTGTTCAAATGCTTGTATTATTGGCACCTAAATAGACAACCGGTTGTCAGGAAGGAGTTTTTATTTCCCTTTAATACATAATTGCCTATAAATCTCTCCAAAAGTTGTGCCGGTCCAGCATAGCTGCTTTGGTTCTGAATGCAAGTGGGTGATTCTAGATTACGTTTATACACTTTTTTTAAACTCTGTTTATTGCTCTCACACCAGTTTTACAAAATTCACAAATATATACATGTCCAGTATCTATATGTATGATTTTCTAAAAATACATGAACAGGACCAAAGTGGTTAAAGTAAGTGGAGATTAACACCATAAGTTCTAAACTTTATGTTCTAAACTTCTCGGCCTTTTGGCTAAGATCAAGTGTAGTATCTGTTCTTATCAGTTGTTGGAGGGGAAAGGATGCTGCCACCTATGGAAAGGGGTGGATGCGTCCTAGTACCCTCTGACGTAAAGGTGGGTGTTGGATGGGGTTTGGTCCACTGCTAGTTGCGTCAGGCCCTGAGTGTCGGCTAGACCCCAGACAGTGGGAGGGCCCCTGAAGGCACTACCTTCTGATGTGAGCCGAGAACCACAAGGTCTGGCCAGAGGGTTGGGAGGCGGAAGAGCCCGTGGTGTTGTGGCCCCTGGGGGTGGCGTCCCAGGGGTGCTCAGGAAGTCACTTGGGTGTGGGACCCCACTTTGACTCACTGTGCACATGGACACACACCACATTGCATTTTCTGCACAACGCCTCCGAGACAGGCCTTATGGCTAGTCCGGGGCAATATTTTGCACTCCGGCCCCTAGGGCCTGTCAGTGTGGTGCACTGGCACTCTTTATTTATTGCACTACATGCACGATTGGCACTTTTTGTGTTTTTGTAAATTTTGACCCACAGATTGCTTAGGGTGCAGGTTCCTTCGGGGCCTATTCCCGATGCTGGGGAGGAGGTTCTGTGCCCTAATATAGAGTTCTCTGTCTCCTCCCCACCAGGGAGTCTCTCTTCGGGAGAGCCCCCTACCTAGTACTATGTGGGACCTGTTTCGGCAGGTGCCCAAAGGATCGGGGTCCACCCGCCTTCGGGTAGGTGGACCATAGTATCTCAACCCCTGTCAGGAGCCTTGCTCCCCGGGGGGGTCGGGAATCGAGGTCCCTTCTTTATTGAAGGACCAAGCACCCTTGTGCACGTTTTTGTGTGCTGTGATTTCACGGTTCACTTTTTTTGTTCACAGGGGGAAGTTTGTTTTTCGATGCACGTTCCACGGGCTCTAAAAAAAAAAAGTTGTTTAGGAAAATGTCTACTAGGGTGAGCACACTGTTAAAGGAGAACTATGGGGTTAGGGCTTTTCCCCATAGCTCTCCTTAGGGTAACGGGAGGACACAAACTAGCGTCCTCCCATCACCCTAGGCTCAGTATACCACGAGCTACAGCTCACGGTATACTGAGACGCGGCAGTATAACGCGAGCTACAGCTTGCGGTATACTGATACGCCGCAGCTGAAGCGGATCCCGACAGTTATGTCTGGATCGGCCCAGCTGCATGAGTGACAGCTGGCTAATATTTTGTCATGGTTACCTTAACTTACTATTACTAAACCCTGAAACATTAAAAGCATGTAGTGCTGCAAACCTCAGCACTTACTATATTTGCAGGGTGTGTTTCTTTCAAAGCCTATGGTTGCTTTGCATTCTATGTGTACTGTATGTGCTGTGTCTGCACAAGTTCTTGTTATAGGGTGGGTCCATTCCTCTTGAAGGTCACATGGAGCCACCTTTGCATGCGAGTTCCCAGGTGGAACTGTGGTTGAGGGTCCCTACACTGCATGTATCCACAAATACAGATAGCACAGAAGCCTCTCCCCCAATGCTCCCCCTCCTAGAAGGTTGATTAACAGCAGCTGGATCCTGCACCATCCAAATTACTTGTTCCCTGTGATGAACTCCATAACTGGAAGATCCTGAGCAAAAGGCAGAAAAATCTGGAGCCAGGGTTGGGAAGAGCTAAAAAAGTAGGTGTTGGGTGCACAAATTTAGCAGACAATGTACTGGGGAATGTTTTCCTGATTGAAAATAGTTTACTAAATAATAAAAAGGTGGAGTCTTTAGTGGTACTTTAACTCTGTTGCTAAAATTAACCAAAATGTCATCACTTATTAACCATCCAGACTCCTGTGGAGGAATGAATGCACTGGAAGTACTACCCTGTGTTCTTCAAGTCCCAGCATTTTATGTACCTTATTACACTGAGCAGATTAGCTAACAAGTAGGTAGGGTGAACAGAGGGGGTTCAAAATGCCAATATCAGCCAAATCTTGGTTGCTTACTGAGTATTGTCAGCTTCATCCGAGTGTGTAATGCCAGAGACTGGTATAATGCTCTTCCGCTCAGCACTGCTGAGGTAGAACGGTGAGTGTGTATGAGCTCATTCACGCTATCCTTATTGCTAAAATGCTAATGACCTGTTAATGCCAGACCCTACTGTCTGAACCTCCAGCCCCGTGGCTGAGAGATGTGGCTCTTATACAGTTAAGGAATCCTGTCATTTATCCTCCCTTTCCTTGTCCCTTGTCAATTCACAGAATACCTTGTTCTGTGAATAGACAAGGGGAAATCCTGCCATTTACCAATTCCTCCTCTCCCCTGGTCCATTCACAGCACCTTGTATTCCGTGTACAGAAATACAACTTGTTTTCTCAATGGACAAGGGGAGAGGAAAGGAATGGTAAATGAAAGATCCGTTCACTGTGCAGGAGCTTATTAGCTTATTTGCACACTATGGCAAAGTCTTCTGGGGGCAACAACTTTTCTGATCGTTTACTATCTGCTTTAATGTGCATTTTTAATGCATTGCATTAATATGCAGGGTTTCTCTTTCCTTAATGTGAATTACAGCATGTTGTGTTGCATGTTAACGCTTTGCATTGTGTTGTTGCACTGTGTTCTAATGCAGCATGTTCCATTTTATTCCAGCACACAACACAATGAACTAAGCCTAAGGAAAACAATGGGTTTTAGCTTGTTATTGAATTGGGCCTGTGTTGAGCAATGTAGTCCAATGCATGTGGTGTGAATGGGCCCTTTATGTCCTGGTATTGATATTGTACATACAGTATCTCTTTAGTCTTTCCTTTGCTCTATTACTGTGATAGTGGTCCCAAGTGATAACTGTGAGCCTGACACCTAGTGGAGGAAGAGGGACTACTGGAAGACGTGTCTCAAGTGGATCAGACTGGGGTTTTCAACAGGCAGAAAGTCAGAACTAAAATGATTGTTATTTGCTCATTGAGCCTTCCTCGTGTAATTTCTCTCACTCATCACTTATTTTTATTCTATACAATTTAAAAAAAAAACATCTAATTGGCCCTTATGGACATGTTACAGGAACAAGTTATTTATGCCATTGAGACTTCTAAATGCCACTCCACAAATGGGCACACTTTTGCTAGTACAAAATTACTTTTTAGATTGGAAGCTCTCATAGGCAGGGCCCTCCTAACCATCATGTTTTGAAGTATGTTGTAACTGTAATGTGTTCCTTATATTGCAAAGCGCTGTGCAAACTGTTGCTGCTATATAAATCCTGTGTAATAATAACCGTCATGATAAATGCTTTTCAATTGTAACACTAACTGAATTAAAAGAGAACTATGGGGTAACCTTTTTATCCAATAGCTCTCTTTAGGGTCACGGGAGGACATATACTAACCTCCTCCCATGACCCAAAATTCAGTATAAAGCGAGCTATTGCCCGCGATATACTGAGAGTGCCACCCAGCTGCGTGAGTGACAGTTGGCTCTGCATATGAAGAGGCAGAGCCAGCTGTGCCCGCCCCCTCCCCCATTTGTTCCTCCACACAGCGCTGGAGGATCGGAGAGGGGACGGGGGAATCCCTGCGGGGAGCGGTGACTGACAGTCACTGCAGGGAGACGAGCGGATCGGTGCATGTTTCTCCTCAGTTCCCGACCGATAGAGCCGATCTGTGCCAGCTTCTTTGTCACAGGTCGGCTCTAGCTACGAGGATACACTCACCTCATAGTTTTCTTTAAGTCACTGTGTTGTTAATTTCTCTGTTTTGCAATACACATTTCCTGTGGTCAATGTATTTCTCATTTCACTGTGCTGGAAGATGACAAAAACCTTTTGCTAAAAATACAGATATGAAAACATTGCAGTATGTGTCTGAGTTCACATCGCTATGAGCAAAGTACAGCAGAAGTAAAACTGATGTCAAAAGAGGAAACTAAAATGACTCCCAAAGGAAATGACATGCCAAATATGTAGTAAATAAAATGACTATTAATTATTTTTGACAACACGGTAATCAAA